GAATCAGAAGACAGTGATTATGAAAACTTGCTTGAACCTGCAGAGTCATCTGACAGTGAATACTCACAGACAAGAGATTCTCGACCTTCACCACATCCTGATGGTGACTCCAGGAACACTCAAACATCTCAGATTTGATGGGGAGGGGGGTAAAAATCCACATGACACTGTTTTTTCACAGTTGTTACTGAGAGATTTTGGGGATTTAACCTGGAGGAAATGAACTACACAGGATTTAACTGTGCACACAACATGTAGAAGACTTGCACTAGAGGGTTTATTCACCTTGTGATACATTTTGCAAGTTTTATAATGGAATCATTAGGATAATCAAGTTGTACTAATACTGATGAGCTTCATGGATGTACTGGTAAACTTAGGCAAAATGATGACATTTATAGAGATCTTGTAGCTTTTGTTGCCGTATTTTCTTTAAGACGATAAATTGGGATGTAGTAACTAAGCACAGTTAGTCTACAAATAATGTTCTCAAATCAAAACTTACCTCTTGCACTATCATGCCTTGAATTTTCAGTTTGGAAAGGGAATACATATATCAGCCGCCTTCAGAATAGCTTTCTATGGTAAGCCAAATTGGCCTTTGCAAGCAAAGAAGTTTTGATAATCCTGAGAAGCCTGGTGGGAGCAGACGTGGTCGACCTTCTTTTATTGGCATGCTCTTTGAACGGAGAAAGGGTTTGTTTCCACTTTTTTTACTAGCGGAATGTGTGTATCACTCCAACTGATGGTTGCCTTTTGTTCTGTAAAGGGTGTTTTTGGGGGGTTTGGGACAACTGGTAACTCATCCAAATGAATGTCCTGAATAGAGTTGTTCTGGTTCCTCTGGGTTTACAGTGACTTGATGCCACACTAAGCCTCATTTCTTGTCTCATTTGTTACTTCAGCATCAATACCAAGTGCACATACAGGAGTAAATGGCTGAGAGTAGTAAATTCCATCATGAGTGGACTTTGGAGGCTGCAAGTTACAAACATCAGAGCCTGCTTCTCACGTTTTACTTGCATCTGAATATTGGATTTACGCTTCTAGACGAGTTATTTTATGTCATACATGGGGGACAGGGTAGGAGAAGGTTGTTTGGAGGGTCCCCTGGGTTTATTACCTCTCTTCCTTTCGGTGAAATGTGTAAATGACTATTTTAATTGGATTTCCAGCAGTAGTCAGAAAATTGGGATAAATGAAGTGTGGTATATTTAGAGAATTTCATGTTTGGATGCACTTACTTTAGTTTAAATACTGCTTGTATGCTAACGTTGCCCAAAATATGTGAAATTGTGCCACTGAGAAGTTTGTATTATTGGACTCCTATCCCTGATCTGTCAATGGGAAACCACACAATTTGAGATGAGGTCATGTACGCATTTATTGCTTTGGGGGGTGAATAACCACTTCATTGGTTTACACCCAGAACAACAAAGCAGTTGCTTCAAAGTTGCAATATATTGGATTTACAAAAGCCTACAATGTCAGTATGTATTGCATCTGTAGGCAGAAGTCTGTTCATTAGCCTCTCCTTACCTGTGCTGAATCAAGCAGATGGAGAACCCGAGGTGTTAAAGTTGCTGCTCTTCTCTCGAGTGCTTCCACCTTTAAACATCTCGTGGGCTGGTTTAACTCTTTGACATTATTCTCATTAGCCTTAACTTGATGCGTTTTCTCTTGGAGCATTGCAATCCATTGGGCAGAGAACTTGCTCTGCTGTTACCACTGGCTCTGTGCACGTGCCCCTGGTTCAGGTGGTGTCCGTGTGTGTGTTGAAATCAGGATTGACGAGATGGCAACTACCGTCTTTTAGTTTTATTCTGCACAGAAACCTGCAAAATGTACATCTCTGACAAAGCAGTTCAATGTGACAATAAAATCTTATTTAATCCTGTAACCTATATTTTATTCTTTGTCAGGTTCCGTGCTGGAGCACAGCTTGAAATGGATGGTTTGATAAAGCCCGGACGGGGATTTGATGGAAGGGGGAGAGGGCAGCGCTATACCGTGCGTATTACATACCTGCCACACGGGATCATGGTGGTACAAAGATCCTGGAGTTCTGGAAGCTTTTAATAACAAAAAATGTCTCAGAATCATAGAACAGTTTGGGTTGGAAAGGACCGTAAGATCATCCAGTTCCAACCCCCTGCCATGGGCAGGGACACCTCACACTAGCCCATGTCACCCAAGCCCCTGTGTCCAGCCTGGCCTTGAACGCTGCCAGGGATGGAGCATTCACAGCTTCCTTGGTCAGCCCATGCCAGTGCCTCACCACCCTCACTGTAAAGAACTTCAGGTTCTTTAGTCTTAAGTTCTACTTTGTTTTACCTACAGCGTGTAAGTGATTTGGGGTGGAATGAGTATGTAATAATGCCAGCACCTACCTGCAGGTGCTGAGTATTATTAGAGTAATTCCATTTACTGTAACTGCTTACTCATAAGAACAAAGGGTCTGCTTTTATTTAATGTTTTAAACATTCAGATAGTATTCTTGTAAAAATACATGTGAACAGCCTCTGCAGCCCATTACAGTGTGTGAAAATGACAGTGTTGGGTTGTGATCCATCTCAAGGCAACAGGGAGCAGCTTGAACCATGAAGAAAACCAGAGCTTCACCCCCAGGAGGTGCCAGGTTTCCACGTCTGACTGATGAAGAGTTTCTTTTGGTGATTCTCAGGAGCACAGAACCCAGCAGCCAGGCCTGTAGCGGTGTCCACTCACTAGCAGGTAGGCAGCATAGAATCATAGACTGGTTTGGGCTGGAAAGGACCTTAAGATCATCCAGTTCCAACCCCTGCCACGGGCAGGGACACCTTCCACTAGAGCAGGTTGCTCCAAGCCCCTGTGTCCAACCTGGCCCTGAACACTGCCAGGGATGGAGCATTGAAGAAAAGCTGTTACAGAACTGGCTGCTGTGCCTTTTAGTTCAAAATCCTGTAGTTTCTCTGGTGTAATGGAATATTTTCTGGGTAATTGTTGTGAAACAACTAGAATTGCTGTTTCCTTTATTTGCAAATTTATTTTGATTCCCTCCCCCTCCCCACTTGTTTATAGCTAGAACAGGAACGTACCATATGGAAAGTCTCAATCAGAACTATCCCATATGCTTACAAGAGAAAGCAGCACCAAAAATTTCTGAAATTAGCCGGGATTGAGTCGGGGGGAGTCTCCAAGTCCTCTGTTTGCTTATGGAATGGTGCATGCTGGCAGAAAGAAGTGGGAGCATCTTTAATGTTGGCATATTTGTTCTTGTCTAGCATTAACTAACTACTCAGGAACAGTTCACTGCTTCTGACCTGACCTGAGTTAAAGTTTGAAGGGAAGCTGGCGTTAGCAGCAAAATAGGTTAAGCATGTGCAGAGTGAGTTGATTTCCTCCAAGTGGAAAGATGCTTCAGACCATACCTAAGGTAACTAAGATCAGTGCACTTCATTCTGTTGTTTGGCTCCTTTTATTTAGACTTAATGTCTTTGACTTACAGCAATAGCCAGCATTTAAAGAAAGCAATGTCACCTCAGATCAAACTGACAGCAGCATTTAGAGTGAGTCCAGAGGAGGCCACGGAGCTGCTGCGAGGGCTGGAGCAGCTCTGCTCTGGAGCCAGGCTGAGAGAGCTGGGCTGGTTCAGCAACGTTTGTTATATGCATTTGTGTGTATTTGTATGTACATATACTCTTATACTTCTCGTTTCTATAGCTTACAGATTTAGGAAGATAACAGAAGCTTAATTAGAGTTTCATTAGTAAATTGCTGAATACTTGGCTGTTCAGAGCATGGCACTGACATCGTGCTGCTCCATTCTGCCTTTGTCACCTGCGAAGCTCTCGCCTGCTTCACATTTCACACCTCATCTCACAGGTCACTGCAGGGTTTTGCCATGCTCAGTGGGGGCAAGCCTGCTTCTGCAAGAGCAAATCCTGTGCTCCACTGGCTTGGAAAGCAGAGGAGAGGTTTGGGAGAGCTCACTTTGCAAGAGCTCCAGCTGTTTCACCCCCAGGAAAGTGTGCATTAGGAGCAAAACCTCCTTATTGCGAGAGAATTTCAGGATCAACTTCCCAGGGGAAGTCCTGCAGATGAAGATGGATGTTAAAGCAGATCTGCTGGATCATGGAAGAATCACAGGATCCCAGACTGGTTTGTGTTGGGAGGGACCTTAAAGGTCACCCGGTTCCAATCCCGTCATAGGCAGGGACACTCATTAGCGTCTCTTGGTGAGGCTGGGCCAGATAAACCCTTCAGTAGGCTGCGTGTAAGTGGAAGTCTAGGGAGGAAGGTCTTTCCCCTTTCTGACCTTTAAACGAGATGTTAACTTGCAGCTCCTTGTCTTTTCCCTTGGCATCATCCAGCAAAAAGAAAACACCTTACTGCCTTTTCTAGGCTGATGAGGGACAGGATGCTCATATGGATGGGCACTGTGGGGTTTTGCATGCATGATCTCCAGCTTTCGAGAGGCCACGTGGCACCAGGGCTCTGCATATTCACCTGTTACCAAATGTAGATTTGTGCACCATACATTTATCCCCTCTGCCTTTACTGGAGAAGACGTTAGGAAGGAAAAACCTGAAAATCCTCAAGATTTAACAGAATAAACACACCTTGTTTTGAGATTCTTCCATCTTAAGCAATATTAATGACTTTTACCAGAGTTATTTCACTGCTCAGCATTTTACTTTGGGCAAATGGTTGTTTCCAAAGGAGGAAAACTAGTTCTGTGAAGGGTTTTCCCTTCACAAGGCACATTTGCACCACAGGGATTGCTCCAACAAATTCTGTCGTGCCAGTTTGTGATTTCTAACACGTTGGTAAGAGCGAGAGGCTGCTATAGCTGCCATCCCAAAGCTGTGAGCAGAGATCACTGGTGGTCTGTAGGACCAATATGGAACTGCTAATTTTAGCCAGGAATGGAGCCTCAAATAAAATGTTCTTACTCAATCTCATGGAAAAAGTTTATTCAAGAGAATTATATCACTTAAATGTGGCTGTAACTTTCTAGTGTGAGCAGGAAGATGTGCTGGTTGAAGAGCAGCACTGAAGGCGCTGCTGGCTCTATTAGGCTAGGTTTTGTCTTAAACCTATAGAGAGGTTTGAATTTACTCTTCCAACATGTGGTACCTCACTGTGAGGTAGTCTGGGCATCTCATACTCAATGTGAAGTGCAGCAGTTGCTTAGAGAACACGTCCATTTATCTCTCCAGCAATTGCTTCATAAATCAGTCAGCTCTGAGGATAACTGATGGTTGGTGTTAGCGTTGTGGGGGGGGGGGTTAGGGCTTTGAGTTTGTTAAAGTCTGTGTAAATGGGTGGTGGAAGCATTGGGACTGGTGATGCTGGTTGTCCAAAAACGTAGCTGTGCCTTGGTCCTGGAAGGGCCGGTGAGTGCAAGAATCAAGGAGTGGGGTTGGTGGTGCAGGAAGGGGCA